AAAATCCAGAAAGGGGGACTGGGAAGGTGGCTCAGTGGTAGAGTGCTTGCCTTGCATGCATGAGGCCCTGGGTTTGATTCCTCAGCACCACATAAGCAGAAAAAGCCAGAAATGGTGCCATATCTCAAGTGTTAGAGCACTAGCCTTGAGCTGAAGAACTGAGGTACAGTGCTCAGGCCAAGTTCGGGCCCCATGACCGACAAAAAAAAAAAAAAAAAAGGCTGAGATCTGAGGATTACGGTTCAAAGTCAGCCCAGGCAGGAAAAGTCTGAGAGACTCATTTCTAATTTACCACAAAAATCCAGACATGGAGCTGTGGCTCAAGTGGTAGAGTGCACACAGCAGGCCTTGGCCAGTGTTTGCAGAAGGAGAAAAAGAACTCTCAACACAGAGACAGTGGGAGTGGCTCCCCACAGCTCCGCCCACCCAGCCCAAAGCTCCCCAAGGCAGGACTACCGCGGTGCTGGCGGGGGATCCCGGGCTGACGCTGTTCACTTTGGCGAAGGCCTGGGGAAGGCTGTGGCTGTGGCCCCGCCTGTGGCTCATGGCCTCTTGGTGGGCCTCAGCCATGTCACGGGCCTGCTTCTCCTTGTCACGCGCATGCAGCTGGTGCAGGGCTTCCTCCACTTGCTTCATCACCGCCTTGTGATCATTCTGCAGGCCTGGTGGAGAAAAAACAAGGGCCAGGAGGCAGTGACAATCATGAGGCACCTGCGCTGGCTCACTATTTACAAGCACTATTACCTCTGGAAGGACAAATCTGTGACCAAGACAGACAGCCTATCTCCCGCAGCTTGCTGGCTAGCAAGGAGAGCTGCTACAGAGTGGGTCACTACGCTCACCAGCCGACGACCAGTGTGAGGCCCCGCGGCGGAGGCCCCGGCTGGCCGATGGAGAACATCAGCGTTTTCTTGCCCTGGCTGATGCTGGGGGGTAAGCGGAAGTCAGGATCTGTCCAGCCGCAGCTCGAAGGCACACAGGGGCAAGACGACACGCAAACAAAGGAGGACACAGGCTGGGCACTGAGAAAGATCTCCAGTGCCTCTTAGATTTCTAGAAGGGAAAAATGATGCCTAGCTTTAGGCAGTCTGGAAAGGAACTGAATTAGCTACGGGACCCAGAACAGGCCCTTGACACTCACTGGCACCTGGCAAGCAAAGCCAGTATTGTCAAGCTCTTTATTTTTTTTCTAGAAACACTGGCAATTGGAGAACTTTGGGTGAAATACAGTTTTTTCAGCACTGAAGGCTAATGCGAAGTGTGAACCACGATTCCAGTCCAACATTTTAATTTTAATGGAAACATTTTGCCCGAGCCAGGTACCAGTGGCTCACGCTTGTAATCATAACCACTCAGGAGGCTAAGATTTGAGGATTGCGGTTTAAAGCCAACTCTGGTAAAAAATCCTTAAGATTTTTATCACCAACAAAAAACCGGAAGTGGAGCTGTGGCTCAAGGGTAAAGCACCAGCCATGAGCAAAACTACTAAGGGACAGTTCCTAGGCCCTGAGTTTATGCCCCAGTCCCAGTACCAAAATAAATAATTTTTTTTTTGCAGTTGTAACAAATGCAACCGTAGTTATATAAACTATATTCAGAGGAAATCAGGTACAAGGTGACAAGGTACATCGGATCTTTTATTCAGAAAAAAAAAGTCTTCCAAAAACATAACTTTGCAACAATCATTTTTCAAAAGTCACATCATGAAGACTGCCCAGGCAGAGTCTTTTTTTGGGGGGGGTCTGGTCGTGGGGCCTGAACTCTGGGCCTGGGTGCTGTCCCTCAGCTCTTCAGCTCAAGGCTAGCGCTCTACCCCTTGAGCCATAGCGCCACTTCCGGCTTTTTTTTTCTGCTTATGTGGTACTGAGGAATCGAACCCAGGGCCTCATGTATGCAAGGCAAGTGCTCTACCACCGAGCCACTTTCCCAGCCCCCAGATTCTTATAAGAAAGGTTATTAAGGCAAGATGATATTAGCACCCAAAGAACAGAGTAGTTGAACAATGTGGAAAGTTCAGAAATAGAGCCAAGCACAGTAAAACCTTGGTCTGGGGGCTCCAATGTAGCTCAGCAGTAAACCCCACACTCAGCATGGGTGAGGCCCTAGGTTTCATCCCCAGCACCACACACACAAAAACACTGGAACACTATGTAAGGCTGCTAGCATTTCCAATTAGTTGGAAAGAATGGACTATTACATAAATGGTGCAGGAACATCAAGCTAAGTATTTGAAGAAAAATAGTATCAGTGCCCGCCCCAGCCTAGCCTAGCTCCCCTCAGGCTTCGGGGGGGGGTGCTACCAATTACAAATGAGTGGGCATGAGCCTGGGGAGCACAGGTTTGGAAAAGGACCCCAAACTCCCCTCAAGCCTGGCCATCTTTCCATGGCGTTCCCCTTCTTTGTACCTTCCTATTGGTTTCTTTGGTTTTTGATATGTGTTGTACTTTTGCTTTTTTAAAACCCAGGAGGGGCTGTGTTGCTAGTTAAGCCAGGCTGGCTTGGAGCTCGCTGTTTATTTGCATCAGCTCCTTGAAGGCTGGGATTACAAGAGTGTACCACCACCACACATCAATTTCCTAGTTGTTTTCATGTAAAAATAAAGTGCTTCTTTTCCCCAAAATCTTGGAGTGGGAAGCAGAAGAAGGCAGGAAGGTGAGAGAAGAGAGGAGATGGCAGAATTAGTGATTGGAGAGATGTAATTACTGGCTTTGCAGGCAGAAGATGGCCAAAAGCCAGGCCCTGCAGGCAGCCAGGAGAAGCTGGGCGAGGCAAGGGAGGGGGTGCTCCCTTTCAGCCATCCTGCTGACCCCCTGAATTTAGCCCAGTGAGACACTCCTTTCCCCCATGACTTCTCACCTCCACATCAGTTAAGATCATCAATTTATGTAGTTTTAAGCCAAGAAGTCTGTGGTCATTTGTGACAATAGAAACAAAACCCTAACACTTACCTAACTTCTACTCTCTGCTAGTTCCTTGGTCACAAATAAACTGAGGCCAGTGATGTGCCCCCAGTGGAGTAGTGCTCTGGCTTTGCTGGCAGGAGGAGGGCCAAGGAGAGGACAGCGCCCACTCACTCAGGGCAGGGGTAGGACTGACAGCAAATCCTCAAAGGAGGCTGCAGGAACTCTTGCCTTCCTGCCTTCTTTGCCCTTCCTGACTGGACCACAGGCTGGTGACTCCGAAGACAGATATAGGGCCTGGCTTTCTGCTCACCACCCTATGCTCCCTTACCTCCAAATACTTCTACCAAGAGACCCCTTAGGCTTTTTATGTTTAAATGACTATAGTCAGGTCATCATTTTCAAGAATCAAGCCTACTTCCTAACAAACACATAGATAATGGATTTCATGAGAATTGAGAACAAACTAGGCTTCTGTTGTTAGGGGTGGGGTGGGGTAAATATAATTAAAGCATATTATATACATGAATGGAAATATCATAATAAGCACTATCAAAAATGGCACAAGCTGGGCACCAGTGGCCATACCTATAATCCTAGCTATTTGGGAGGATGAGATCTGAGGATCACAGTTCCAAGCCAGGCTGGGCAGACAAATCTGTGAGACACTTATCTCTAATTAACCAACAAAATGTCAGACTGGAGGTGTGGTTCAAGTGATAGAGTACCAACCATAAGTGGAAAAAGTTGAGTGAAAGTTCAAGTCCTTGCCGGGTGCTGGTGGCTCACACCTGTAATCCTAGCTACTCAGGAGGCTGAGATCTGAGGATCACCATTAGAAGCCAGCCCTGGGTGGGAAAAGTCTGTGAAATTCTTATCTCTAATTAACCACAGGAAAAGCTGGAAGTGGTACTGTGGATCAAATGGAACAGTGCTAGCCATGAGCAAAAGGAGCTCAGAGAATGCCCAGGCCCAGAGTTCAAGCCCTAGTACCAGCAAAAAAAAAAAGAAAAAAGAAAAAGAAAAAAATTCAAGGCTTTAAAATCAAGTCACAGTATCAACACAGACACACACACACACACACTGTACAAAGAAAGTTTCCATAATGAAATAAAATTCTTAAAACAAAATGATAAAAGGGAACCATAAATACAGTGGAGGTTATGCCACTTCCTTGGTCCGGAGTCCCTCAACAAGGACAGTATGATAATCCTGTTAAGGAGGAAGAGACCAGTCGCTAATGATGCTGGTGATTTATTTGTGTGCCTTTAGTCCCCCATCCCGAGGGCCACTTACAGATGATGTTGTGTCTGGCTGTGCGGACTTGGTAGAGGTCCACGTCTGCCCGGGGGTAGCCCTCACAGTCCACCAGTGGCTCGTCCATCCCAACACCTTTTTGCTGAAGAAAAGACGTACAACTAAACAACTTTCACAGACATATAGTTCCTGAGATGCCCCTCCTGAGACCCTTTTCCTTACAATCAACTGGACAATAATAAAACTTGCCCATATTGACCACAAAGGACGCACCTTACCCAGGCTCTCATAACCACCTGTCTGGGGGAGGGAGAGACTTTTCATCTGATATCTTTCATGGTATTTTGTTTTTGCTGTTTTGCCAGTCCTGGGGCTTGAGCTCAGGGCCTGGGCACTGTCCCTGAGCTGCTTTTGCTCAGGCTAGCTCTCTAGCCACAGCGCCACTTCCCACTTTTTCTGTGTAGTGTACTGAGGAGTTGAATCCAAGGCTTCCTGCATGCTAGGCAAGCGCTCTACCACTAAGCCACATTCCCAGCCCTCTTTCATGGTTTTTTGTTTGTGCCAGGACTGAGGCTTGAACTCAGAACCTCCTGCTCTCCTGTGACTTTTTCTTTTCGTTACTGGTGCTCTACTACTTGAGCCCATACCTCCACTTCCAGTTTGCTTCGTTGGTTTGTTTTTTGTTTTGGTGCTAGTTCTCTGGCTTGAGCTCGGGGCTCAGGCGTTATCCCCGAGCTTTTCCACTCAAGGCTAGCACTAGCTCCGTTGCTGGATTTCTTGCTGGTGCGTTGGAGATGAGCACCTGGGCCCGCGCTTCCCGCTCCTGGCAGGGGCCGCACGTGCGGTGGCGCCCCAGGTCCCGGGAGAGATGCGGGATGCCCTCCCCGCGCCCCCACCCTCCCGCAGCCTGCCCGCCCCCCGCGTCCTCCCGCGGGGCCCGGGCCACACTCACGCCCTCCAGCACGTCGTAATTGGCCTTAATCTGCGCCTCGATCTCCTCCTTGCGGCGCATCAGCTCGTGGATGTCGCTGACGGTCGCCGCGCGGGCGCCCGAGGAGCCTTCGCTCGGCCTGGCTTCCTTATCCGACATCGTAGAACCGGGCCTAGGATGCCGGACCATCCGTTTCCGGGCTACGGACGCGAACGGAGACTGCTGATACGGCTCCGCCCGCGGACCAAAACACCACAGTCACTCCGCGAGCGCGCGCGCGCGCGCAGGCAAGGGCGGGGTTGGGGGGAGGGCGGGGCAGAGCGACGGACGGTGATTGGTAGGCGAGACCACCGGAAGCCCCGCCCCGTTAAGGCACGTGGTCGGAATGATGCCTCTGCCCTGCAGGTCGGCACACAGGCTGCGTTTAGGGGATGAGCAGACTGTGGCCGGCTCACCTGCATTTCACCTCCACTCAGCAAACATTTACTCAGCACCTGCGCTATGTAAATGCTACAGAACTAGTCCCGGGCCCTCCGATCCAGTTCTTCACATCTCCAAAGCCCTTGAGGGACGCCCGGGCCTCTGACCCCGCTTCCCACCTGTGAGCCTGGGCTCAAGCTCCTGCCGCTTGGTCTCTTTTTGCAATTTGTGACCTTAAGTAAATTAGCCTTTAAAAAAAAATGTCTGTCCTCGGGCAATAACAAGTCAGGGTCTTAGCCAGACGCCAGTTTCTTAGGCATGTCATCCTAGATACTTAGGAGGCTGAGATCTGTGGGTCGCTGTTCAAAGCCAGCCCAGGCAGGAAAGTCCATGAGACTCTATCTCCAATAAACTACTCAGAAAAAAAGCTGGAAGTGGCCTGGCCTCGTGGCTCAAGTGGTAGAGCACTAGCCTTGAGCACAGAGGTTCAGGAGCAGCACCCAGGCCTTGAGTTCAAGCCCCAGGACAGGCAATCAATCAATCAATCAGGGTCTGGAAGCTGTCCCTGAGCCTTTTCACCAGCACACTGCCACTTGAACCACAGTTCTGGCTTTCCTACATTTTTAAAGTAATATTTCTTTCTTAAAATTAATATTCTTCCTAAAAAAATAGTATTCTTCCTCTGTAACATTTCTTGATTTGATACAGAATCTTTTAAATAAAATGCTGAAGTTTTAGGAGATACTGGGCTAACTGGTGAGATACAAAGGTGAGCTTTCTGTTCTGTTTTAGGATATTGATATTAAATGTCCTCAGTAAGACAATACTATTGCAATTATATGAGACATCTCCTTATTCAATGACAATAAATGAGTACTCCTGTATTCCTACTTCCCCCAGAGGCTGAGATCAGCAGGACCACAGTTCTACCTGAGCCATCTGAAACCAGAGGTAGTTTTTAATTCATTATACCCTTGGAAATGTGGTTGTGATTATTGTAAGAAACTAGATCCAGCCACTGCCTTGGCCTTTAAAGTTCTCAAACCCATCATCTACTCCATCTCTGCTGTTGTCCCTGCCACCCAATCTCGCCCTGATTGAAGCATCCTATGCACTGGCCTCCATTAATCCAGTCTACACAGCAGCCAGAGTAGCCTTTCTAAAGAGTGCTATTGTCATTTTGCTGCTTAAAAGCTTTCAATGGCTTTTCCAGTGCTCTTCCTTGGCCTTCAAGGCCCATCTGGTCGGTCACTGCTTGCTTTTAGACTTCCAGCGCCATGCCCTTTCCCTTCCCCACAGCACACAGGCAATACTCCACCCACCCGCCACACAGCCCAGAAGTCACAGTCTGACCTGCCCAAAGCTGCACTTTCCACTTGAGATCATATCCACATGTTTACCTGTCTGTCCCAGGCAATGGGTACTCTCAAACAATGCGGATTGACGCTTGTTTATCTCCAAATGTTTGACTATTTGACTACTTGAAGGGTTACAAGAGAACAATCTTTGTTTGTTCCTTTACCGTTCCAGGTGTTTTGGTTCATCTCAGCTGTTATGGCTACAGACAGGCCAATAAACCCTGTGATTTAGGAAGCTACCAAGATCCAATAGAGCCTGAATTGTTTTCCTCTTCCAAACATCCATGACTGAATGTGGGCCAGTACTGGGGCTTAAACTCAGCCTGAGCACTGTCCTTAAGCTTTTTTGCTCAAGGCTGGTGCTCTACCACTAGAGCCCACAGCTCTGCATCTGGTTTTCTGGTGGCTAATTGGAGGTAACAGTCTTGTGGACTTTTCTATCTGGGCTGGGTTTGTACAGCGATACTCAGATCTCAGCCTCCTCAATAGCTTGGATTACAGGGGTGAGCCAAGAGAATCTGGCTTCTCTTTGGGTAAGAGACCTATAATAACTCTCCCTAATATTTGGAAAGGTGAAAATAGGGGTTCAGAGAGGTTAAACAATGTACTGAAAGCAACTCAGCAAATCAGAGGTAATGAAAGTCAGCACTCCAAACTGAAAGGTGGGGAGGTGTTCGCAGGCCCTGGGACTTCGGACAGCAAGAACGCAGCTTTGAACTGGAAGAGATCCACGGTCTTGAGTAATTTCGCCCTGGGCTTACGCAAGTGATGAAGCTAGTGACGAAAATCCCTTTGATGTGCCCTGGGCTTGGACACCATGACAACTGCTCGGGCTCCCCGCCACTCCTCTCCTTCTGTGGCCAACCCCCAATCGAGGACCTCCTACCCCCTTAAACCTCAGACAACCAAGCAGAGGGGCACCTTGAGATTGGCTGGAGGGAGTTTTTATGCCACAGAATTGAGCAAATGTTACAAACCAAGTTTCGACTGCTGTTTCGCTGATTATCTAAGACAAAAATAGGCAAATTATGGCCCTTGGAACAAATCTGGACCACTGTCTTTTATTATTATTATTATTCTAGGCATGTGTGGTAGTGTATGCTTATAAGCTCAGCGCTCCGGAGGCTGAATCAAGAAGATTATGAGCTCCAAGTCTACCTGGCCTACATAGTGAGATCTTGTTTTGAGAGAGAGGAAAAAACAGAAAACAAGAAACAAAACAAAAAAACAAGAACTAATAAAAGCTGCCAAAGTCTCTTCATTTTATTATTTGGTGCCAGAAAACCCAAACAGAAACAATAATAAACTATTCCTCCCTGCTAGATCAGACCATTTCCCTCACACCAACTAATGTAGTAAGTGCTCATTCAATAGTGGGGTTCTTATTCCCCTTGTATTTGCCAGGACTCGTGGTTGCAAAATCCAAAAATCCTCTTCAGAGTAATTTACACAGGAGGGAAAATGCCTAGCTCATCCAGAAGCACATCTAGAATAACCCACGAAGACAAGAGGACTCTGCTTCGTCCGCAGCACGTTTTCCCCTGGCGAACCCAGACGTGGTTCCTACAACATCAGCAACCAGCTCCGCAGACTAGAGGCAGCACCTTTCTCAAGACCAAGCTCCCAGCCAAACTCCCATTGGCCAGCTGTGGTCACGTGGCCGTCCTTGAGCCAATCACAATGATTCTTGTTGGCCGGCTCTAACTCACAGGCCCCACCCTGACCGCATGGGCAGAGAGAAAAAAAGGTTGATTCCCCAAAGGAAAAGTGAGATACTGTTAGAAGGTGAATGAATAGTGAACAAGATGGTTTTAGCCAGGAGACCTCTGCTGTCCCAGTGGCAAGAAGAGGACAACCTTCAGGTCATGGCAGATCCAGGGCTCTCTGCTCACCCACTCTGGGACAGAGACTTAGAAGCAGCAGAGAGTGGAGCAACTGTGTCCAAGGGTCCTGTGCCCTGTCATTAGCTCCTGGAGCCCCACAGACTGCCTGTAAGCCAGAGCTCACGCCTGCAGTTCTGTCCTCAAAAGATAAAGAGGGGCTCCACCCAAATGGCCCTACCCTGGGGCTTCACTAGCCTGACCCCATCCTGGCCAACTCTCGCCCCTCTCCCCAGCTTTTTATAATAAGAACATGTTCCCTGGGCAAGGTATTGGTGGCTCACGGCTGTGATCCTAGCTATTCAGGAGGCTGAGATCTGAGAATCGAGGTTCAAAGTCAGCTGGGACAGGAAAGTCCTTGAAACTCTTATCTCCAGTTTAACCACCAAAAAAGTCATTAGTGGAGGTGTGGCTCAAATGATAGAGTGCCAGTCTTTTTTTTTTTTTTTGGGTCCAGTTGTGGGGCCTGAACTCTGGGCCTGGGCGCTGTCCCTCAGCTCTTCAGCTCAAGGCTAGCACTCTACCACTTGAGCCACAGCGCCACTTCCAGCTCTTTTCTTTTTGCTTATGTGGTGCTGAGGAATCGAACCCAGGGCCTCAGGCATGCAAGGAAGCGCTCTACCACTGAGCCACCTTCCCAGTCCAGAATGCCAGTCTTGACTGAAAAAGCCAAGGGAAAGCACCCAGTACTAGTACTCAAACTTTAATCATTATTTTTTTAAATCCCAGAACTGTACGCTGAAAAAGAAAGAAGAATCAATTACAACCTATGTAAATTGTGTATCAGTCCATAAGAACCCCTCTGAAGCTGTGCTTACAAAATGTAAGACATGTACATTATTCTGAAAACCATGTAAGTATAACTCAGCGCAGGGCCGGAAGGGTGATCAGATATGCAGGAAGGAAATGCTCTGTGAAGTTGCTGCGAAGCAGTATAACGCAGAAGAGTGCAAATAGTACGATGAAACGGCTCCTTTTGGGCTGGGAAGGTGGCTCAGTGGTAGAGCGCTTTCCTTGCATGCCTGAGGCCCTGGGTTTGATTCCTCAGCACCACATAAGCAAAAAGAAAAAAGCTGGAGTGGCACTGTGGTTCAAATGGTAGAGCGCTAGCCTTGAGCTGAAGAGCTGAGGGGCAGCGCCCAGGCCCAGAGTTCAGGCCCCACGACTGGACCAAAAAAAAATAAAAATAGTAATAATAATAAAATAAAAAAAGAAAGGGCTCCTTTTATGTCAACTCTGCCAAGGGCTTGGCAATCCTGGGCATTTTCTTTCAGTCCTTGAACTCTGGGCCTGGGCACTGTCCCTCAGCTCTTCAGCTCAAGGCTAGTGCTCTACTATTTGAGCTACAGTGCCACTTCCAGTTTTCTAGTGGTTTATTGGAGATAAGAGTCTCACAGACATTCTTGCCTAGGCTGGCTTTGAACTGCAATCCTCAGATCTCAGCCTCCTGAGTAGGTAGGATGACAGGCATGAGCCACCGGCACCCGACAACTTGGCATGTTTTGCACTATGAAAACTCAAATCAACTGCAACAGAAGCAAACAAAACAAATAAAGGCACCCATAAACAGCATTTTCCTTTCCTTTTTTTTAAAAAAACAACAAATTGTTGGGGAAGCCACTGTTCGTAGCACAGAGCGGCAGCGGCCGCATTGAATTTCAGCTAGGCAGTCGAATGGGACAAGTGTGCTCCAGAGACTGGGCCAGGTAGATCCTGTCCGGAGATGGAAGTGGTACCTTGAGTGAATCCAGAATGTGATGCAGACCCACACTATTTCTAGAAGCCAAGTGTAGAGGGGAGGGAGGAACAGCAGAGTTCCCAATCAGGGCAGCTGAGCCAGGCACCCACCAGACACCAGCCGTGCAGCCTTTGGATATTAAATCCACCTGACTGTGGATTTAATTAACAATGGCCAGGAGAGAAACCAGACCAGGTGCCGCAAGAGAGACTGGGTACACTATCATAAGCCAGGGGTTGGTCTGCAGTGCTGCTCTCACTCTGTGTGACCCAGGCCCCTGCCTCCAGTCTGGTCCTCTCAGATGGGAATAAACTTAGAGAGAGAGGAAGGAAAACAAAAGCCTAGCGAAGTGCTGGTGACTCTTGCCTGTAATCCTCACTACATAGGAGGTTGAGATCTGAGGATTGTGGTTCAAGGTCAGCCCAGGCAGTAAAGTCCGTGAGTCTCTTACCTCCTATTAAGCATCTAAAAACCAGAAATGGAACTGTGGCTTGAAGTGGTAGAGCACTAGCCTTGAGCACAAAAGCTCAGGGACAGCACCTAGGCCCTGAGTTCAAACCCAGGACCAACACACACACACACACCTGACTCACGTTCCTTTTCTTCTCTGCACTTGGCCTGCAACATGGCCGAGGCAATATTCTGTTGTGTGCTGCCATCCAGACCTTGCAGGCCAGGGTTCCCAATGGAATGAGTTTCTGGGGAGGGGTGTGGATGCAGAGCAGTCTTGCTCTCCCCGTGCACTTAGAAAAAAGCCAGAAGTCAGGAAAGCAAGACAAGAGGACTTGCGTGGGATTGGAGAAGCCAGGCCTTCCTCCCCACCTGCCCCGCAGAGCCAACAGCTCCATCTCCCTGATGCTCCAGAATGCTCTTAGGAGCTGGGGCCTGTGGTGGAGATGAGGTCATAACAACTTCTTTTCTGATACTTGAGCACAAGCATGCCAGGCTGCTGGCTACATCAGCCATGCTCAGTAACCCAAAGGCATCACGAATCACATCCAGCAGCAGCGGAAGCTGTTCTGTGTGCCATCCCTTCCCAAGAGCATGCACACTGGCTCATACTATGCTTGCTCCCAATTTACAGATGAGAAGACTGAGGCTCAGAGGCATCTGGTGCTTCTGTATACTGCAGGGCCAGGATGCAAACTCCTATGTCCAAAATTGTACCCACCACAGAACACAACTCTTTTATCTCACGCCTCCTCTATACTTGCTCTGCCAACAGGGCTTCAGGACCAGCCTCCACTGCCCCATGGAGTCCCTTTGGTAAGAATGAAAAACTTGCCACTCAGCTCAAACTGGCCTTGGCTTCTGAGCTTTGGATCTGGATGGCAGAGATCACAGCCCCTGTCCAGGATCCTGCAGGGCACATGCCCTTTGACTTCCTGTGCCGGCTCTGTCCCCACTGCCAGTGGGCTGGCCCTCGTCACTCCCCCCCCCCCCAGCAAGGTCTGGTAACCTTGCCCAGGGTTAATCTCTCCACCCCCACGGAGGCAGGGCAGGGGCAGGCCCAGCCCTACCCATGGTAAATACTTCTGTCCAGCACTCACCCGGCTTCTTGTCCCAAGCTTTCTGGAAGGAAGTTTGACCAAGATCGACCATGGTAAGAGCCTCTCACTCTCCCCCACCCGCTGTCTCTCAGAATAGTAGGAGGATGGGAGCGAGACTTCAAGAGTTTTTGTAATCTGGGGGGGGGGCGGTGAGGCTTGTCTTCAGAGTCTCTGGGTACTGTGGCTTCTCAGTGTGGAAGGATGAGTTGCTAGGTTGTAAGTTCGGAGAGAAGCGACTCTTTTCGTCTCCCGGCTCACATCAAGGCAGGCTACCAGGGAGCCCTAGTGAGGCTCACGTCGTGGTTCTGGTTCTTCAGGTTCTCCAGTCTCTGTCACGGCTCGTGGATGGCTGTGTTCCCTCCGCTTCCCAGCTTCCACGCAAAATGACAGATCCTTGAAATCCACACAGGAAAATCACTGTGGGAGGGAAGGAGTGTCTCTCACAAAGGGGAGTGTCACAGGTGGGGGTCTCAGCAGAGTTATTTTAGCATAAGAGGATCTAAAGTAGGGGGAAATGGGGCTGGGAAGGTGGCTCAGTGGTAGAGCGCTTGCCTTGCATGCCTGAGGCCCTGGGTTCGATTCCTCAGCACCACATAAGCAAAAAGAAAAAAGCCAGAAGTGGTGCTGTGGCTCAAGTGGTAGAGCGCTAGCCTTGAGCTGAAGAGCTGAGGGACAGCGCCCAGGCCCAGAGTTCAGACCCCACGACTGACCGATTGGACCCAAAAAAAGCAAACAAAAACAAAGTAGGGGGAAATGGGGGAGGGGCACAGCGAATGGGAGAACAGACTCTCACAGCCCTCTCCTCCTCTCTCCTTAGACAACTTACAGCGACAAAGGCCCAAAGGTAAGCAGGAGGGAAATAAGGACGCCTGAGTCTGGAAGGGGGTCAAGGCACAGGGAAATGGGGTGTCAGCACAGAGCAGTAGTGACCAGATGTGACCAGATGTGCAGGGCCGTGCCTGAACACTGAGGCTCACTCCCTGGGCTTCTCCACAAGGAGCTAGACTCAGCTTCACCCGCCTCTGACCCCTTCTTCAACACCTGCCCAGCTCTTTTAAGTCTGGCTGGCAGCTCTCCATCTACAGAATCCCAGGCTGTGCCAGCCTTAAAGATATTTCCTTCTGTGAAATCTGGGCAGGTTCCCTGGGGACTTCCTGAACTCACACCATCAATTTCTTTCTTTCTTAGTTTTTAATTTCTAAATTTTAATTGTTATAATAAAGGTGATATACAGAGGGGTTACAGTTACGTAAGTCAGGTAATGCGTACATTTCTTTTTGGACAATGTCTCCCCTTTCCTCATTCAATTTTCTTTTTCATTAGTTTGCATATTCATTTCTATGATAGTACAATTTTAGGGCTGAATTTCAAGTCTAAAAACTGAGTTTGGGCCAGGCGCTGGTGGCTCACGCCTGTAATCCTAGCTACTCAGGAGGCTGAGATCTGAGGATCGCGGTTCAAAGCCAGCCCGGGCAGGAGAGACCGTGAGACTCCTATCTCCAATAAACCACCAGAAAACCGGAAGTGGCACTGTAGCTCAAGTGGTAGAGTGCTCGCCTTGAGCTGAAGAGCTGAGGGACAGCACCCAGGCCCAGAGTTCAAGCCCCACGACCGACAAAAAAGAAAAAAAAAACTGAGTTTGGTAGAACTTTGATTCTCTGATTTTTTTTTTATATCAAAGTAAGCCAGGCACAGGTAGCTCACACCTGTAATCCTAACTACTCAGGAGGCTGAGATCTGCAGATAGCAGTTCGAAGCCAGCTAAGGCAACAAAGTTGGTGAGATTTTTCTCTCCAGTGAGCTAACAAAAAGCCAGAAGTGAAGCTGTGACTGAACTGGTAGAGTGCTAGCTGTGAGCACAAAAGCTCAGAGACGGCGCCCAGGCTCTGAGTTCACACTCCAGGACTGCACCAAAAATAAAGAAATAAAACAAATAAAGATATGGGGACGCACACTGAAAGGGCGTTGTACCCCAGTCCAATTGCAACTGAATTCAGTGAACTTGCATCTTGATGTGTCCAAAGCCAAAGAAACAAGTGAGAGAAGCAAGATGTATTGCCTGCAGCAGGTATGGAGGTAACGGGAGTGATTTCCATGAAGGGCTCATTATCTGGAGCACAGGGAAACGCTTTGTGTGCAGTCACTAAGAGGTCCTGGGGTGGCTGGATTCGGGGCCAAGTGGTCAAGGGGGACCCCGCCCCACTCCCACTTTCCAGATCCCCTTCCATGGCCTCAACTTTGCCCCTTCCTCCCCCTGCAGCCTGAGAGAGGCCGATTCCTCCACTTCCATTCCGTGACGTTCTGGGTTGGCAATGCCAAACAGGTAGAAGAGGGGCAGGGCTGGGTGGGCAGGAGCCGGGCAGATGGCCTCCTGGACGAAGCCAGGCCCTGGCCGGGGCAGGGATTGGCTCCTGGGAGGGGAGGGTCAGGGTGCACTCTGGCCCGGGCATTTTGGGTTCTGGTTACACAATCAGGACCACAGACCCCTGGTGGGAAGTCTCTGTGAAGGTAGAAGGTGCCAGAAAGCCTCCCCTTTGTTTTTTTCCCCTAAGAGAGGGTTCTGTTTTGGGGGCTCCCTTCTGAGACACTCCCCACCCAGAATGGGCCCTCTCTGAACCCTGCGGCCATCCTGTCATCCAGGCTGCCTCCTTCTACTGCAACAAGATGGGCTTTGAACCGCTGGCCTACAAGGGCCTGGAAACAGGGTCCCGGGAGGTGGTCAGCCATGTGATCAAGCAAGGAAAGGTGAGCCCCACCCCCCAGGAGCCCCTTGGGTCTCAGTGATCAATTGCTGAGGCCTTTAGACCTCCTGACCTTTCCATGTATCCCGCTCTGATTTGGAGACGCTGCCTGGCTGGTTCCAGGGCAAACCAGGGGCGTGGTGCCACCATGCAACAGGACCTTCCTGGCCCCGTCTCCTTCAGCCTGGCCCAAAGCAGGCTGGCACAGGAGTTCAAATGAGCCTGGACCATGGGAATAGGGAGCTTCACCAGTGTCCTGGACCACCTCCAGGGACTCCGCAGCTAACCCAGGCTTTCTCCTGCACGGGAGACTGGGGGGAAGCCAAGGCAGAGAAGGAGCTAGACTGCTCTGAGTCCTGCATGGCAGAGGCAGAGGCCTTTTGTTCTACCAGGGATGGGGGAAAGGGGTACCCCACTCTGTGTACCCCTGAGTCCGGCCACACTCCCTGTCCTCTATGTTTTAGATTGTCTTTGTCTTCTCCTCGGCACTCAACCCCTGGAACAAAGGTGAGGGGGTCAAGGGAGGGGTGGCAATAAGGCTTTACCAGTGGGGTCAGGGATCAGGGGTCAGGACTGGGAGGGTGCATGGGGCCAGGGCTGAGTCCAGAAGGAACTGAGGGCAGCCTCTCCCTCCTGGCCGCAGAGATGGGCGAGCACCTGGTGAAACACGGTGACGGTGTAAAGGACATCGCCTTCGAGGTGGAGGACTGCGAGCACATCGTGCAGGTGAGGACGCGCGTGCAGATGCAGGAGCAGGGTCCAGGGTCGCAGGAGCATGGGGAGGCTCCGCCCCGGGACGCCCAGGCCCCGCCCCATCGGGCCACGCCCCCGCCCAGGCCCCGCCCCGGGACGCACAGGCCCCGCCCCACCGCTCACCCGGAGGCCTCTCTTGGAGGCTCAGTTCACACCTCCGTAAACTAGGGGTCCTCGAGTGCCTACCTCACTGAGCCGTGTAAAGGAAATGAGTTGCAATTAAAGTATTTGGACTCCAATGGGGCCAAAGAGACGCTGGCAGTTTGGAGGCAGGCGTGGCTCAATGATAGAGCACCTTTCAGGCAAGAGGAAGGCCCGGAGTTAGATTCCCAGCACTGAAAAGGAAAAAGAAAAATAAAGAGAGGTGGGGCTGGGAAGGTGCTCAGTGGTAGAGTGTTTGCCTCGCATGCATGAGGCCCTGGGTTCGATTCCTCAGCACCACATAAGCAGAAAAAGCCAGAAGTGGCATTTGGCTCAAGTGGTAGATTGCTAGCCTTGAGCTGAAGAGCTCAGGGATGGCGCCCAGGCCGAGAGTTCAAGACCCACGACTGACAAGAAATAAATAAATAAAAAGAGGTGGTTTAGATTAGAGCTAGACAGGTCAAATGTAAATCTTAGGATCTGTACCACTGAACCTATGACTTAACGTCTCGGTGACTTAGTTTTTTGTCTAGAGAATGGCAATAATAACTCATTTCTGTGTAAAAAATGGTGCTATGAAAATCAAAGACGTGGGGCTGGGGATGTGGCTCGGGGTAGAGTGCTTGCCTAGCATGCACGAAGCCCTGAGGAGTACCTCATAAGCAGAAAACGCAGGAAGTGGCGCTGTGGCTCAAGTGTTAGAGCGCTTGCCTTGTGCACAGAGGAGCTCAGGGACAGTGTCCAGGCCCTGAGTTCAAGCCCCAGGACTGGCAAAAAGAAAAGAAAATTAAAGAGGTGAACCCTTAGAACGGTGCCTGCCATGTGAAGACATGTGTGAACCCGCTCTGACACATGGAACAGGGCCTGACACGCAGTGCGCACTCAATCAATGTCAGCCACCTTTCCACACAGCGTGGGGCCATAACATGAGTCCACTCACACCTACCCCACCTGGTTTGTCTTCCAGCACCCTAACTCTAAGCCTGAGCCTAATGGGCATGGGATGCAGGGACAGGGAGCAGCTGGAGCTGGGGGGGGACCTGCTTTCTCCGGCAGCAAAGGTAGCAGGCAAGGGCTTTGGGGGCCCCATCCTCACTGCTGCCTCTCACCCCCTCTCCCCTCCAGAAAGCTAGAGAACGAGGGGCCAAAATCGTGCGGGAGCCCTGGGTGGAGCAGGACAAGTTTGGGAAGGTGAAGTTTGCTGTGCTGCAGACGGTGAGTTAACTTTGGGGATCCTGTTGCTCCTCCTGACGGAACCCCTCACCGCACAGACTGCCTTTCTCAAGGGTGACCTCCTACTATTCCCACGGGGAGGGGCTGCGGGTCCCAGGCTTCCCTTCCTCCCCAGTGCAAGGCTTGGGATGGGCTGAGACAAACACAGAAGGGTGGGGCAGAGGAAGCCACACCCAACAACACGTGACCTTGGGCAAACCGCTGTCCTGCTCCGGGGCTCTGAAGAAATGAGCAAAGACTGGAGTTGGACACCCTATGGCCGTGACACACACTCCAACACCCATCTGTGCCTTAGTTTCTCCAGCTATCACCCCTCCTCAGGCTGTCATGAGAGTGAGTCCACAACTCTGGCTTACTCCGATATGTACTCAGCAAAGATGGCCGGGTCTGTGCAGCGTCACTGTTAATGTGAGACCAGGATGACCTTCCGCCTCACCTCCAGCACTGAATAAAATATAGTGATGGTTCGCAGAGCCCTCTAGTGAAATCTGGTCCAGCCAGGCACTAATGGTTCATGCCTGTAATCCTAACTACACAACAGGCCGAGATCTGAGGTTCAAAGCCAGCCCAGGTAGGAAAGTCCATAAGACAAGACTCTTATCTCCAGTGTACCATCAGAAAACCAGAAGTGGCCCTGTGGCTCAAATGGTAGAGCCCTAGCCTTGAGCGAAAAAGCTCGGGGACAGCACCCAACCCCTGAGTTCAAGACCCAGAACTGACCAAAAAAAAAACAGGGGCTGGGAAGATGGCTCAGTGGTAGAGCGCTTGCCTTGCATGCATGAGGCCCTGGGTTCGATTCCCCAGCACCACATAAGAAAAAAAAAAGCCGGAAGTGGCGCTATAGCTCAAGTGGTAGAGCCCTAGCCTTGAGCTGAAGAGCTGAGGGACAGCACCCAGGCCCAGAGTTCAGGCCCCACGACCAACAAAAAAAACAAACAAACAATAAAACAAAGACATTTTGGTCCAAGGCTATCACCTATTGGTCAACCCAAGATTTTTGCTATTGATATTGTTTTTGTTTTTTTGGGGTCCGGTCTTGGGGCCTGAACTCTGGGCCTGGGCGCTGTCCCTCAGCTCTTCAGCTCAAGGCTAGCGCTCTACCACTTGAGCCACAGTGCCACTTCCAGCTTTTTTCTTTTTGCTTATGTGGTGCTGAGGAATCGAACCCAGGGCCTCATGCATGGAAGGCAAGTGCTCTACCACTGAGCCACCTTCCCAGCCCTTGTTTTGGTTTTTGAAACAAGCTCTCTCTTTATAACCCAAACTGGCCTCAAACTTGTGATTTTTCTGCCCTAAGCTGCTTTTTTTTAATTTCTTATTTTGGTCAGTTGTGGGGCTTGAATTCTGGGCCAGGGCGCTGTCCCTCAGCTCTTCAGCTCAAGGCGAGCACTCTACCACTTGAGCCACAGCGCCACTTCCGGTTTTCTGGTGGTTTATTGGAGATGAGAGTTTCACGGGTTTTCTTGCCCGGGCTGGCTTTGAACCATGATCCTCAGATCTCAGCCTCTTGAGTAGCTAGGATTACAGGCATGAGCCAACAGTGTCCTGCTGCCTTAAGTTTTTGAGTTTGGGGATTAGGCACGTACCCCTACAGCTAGCTGGCAACACAATTTTTTTGAACACTTACTATGGGACTGGGAAACCAAGTGCTAGGAATACCTGGATGAGCAAAACAGCATCTCTGGGAATGGGGGCATGGCTCAAGAGGTATAGAGCACTCACCTAGCAAGAGCCAGGACCCAAATTCAATCTCAAGTATGGTAAAACAAAAACAAAACAAAGCCCTGGGTTCAATTCCTCAGCACCACATAAGCAAAAAGAAAAAAGCCGGAAGTGGCGCTATGGCTCAAGTGGTAGAGCGCTAGCCTTGAGCTGAAGAGCTGAGGGACAGCGCCCAGGCCCAGAGTTCAGGCCCCATGGCCAACAGGAAAACAAAACAAAACACACAAAAAAATATCCTCCCAAACAATGAAGTGGCAAAGCTTCCAGAAAGGGGAGGGGCTTGCCCAGCACCACGCACGCGTGCGTGCGCGCGCACACACACACACACACACACACGTGTTAGGGCCAGACCAGTGCTGGAACCCAGGGCTGAGCTAGCACTGGGAGAAGGAAGACCCCAGTGGCTGGTGGGGCAGACGCTCAGAGTTGAGTCTGGCTGCTTCTCCCTCAGTACGGGGACACCACTCACACTCTGGTGGAGAAGATGAACTACACCGGCCGATTCTTGCCTGGATTCGAGGCCCCGATATCCAAGGATCTCTTGCTTCCCAAGCTGTGAGTACCGTTAGCACAGCAGAGGGTGGGGGGACACCTGGAGACTGTGGGGTATTCCCAGAGGATCCTTCAAGAGGTGGCAAACAGGTTGGGCCCTGGATCCAGTCTGAACTAAGTGACCCCATTGGTCACTTAAACGTTAGACAGATCACTTGGTTTTTTATTTCTTTTCTTTTTTTTTTGGTTGTTCATGAGGCCTGAACTCTGGGCCTGGGTGCTGTCCCTCAGCTCTTCAGCTCAAGGCTAGCGCTCTACCACTTGAGCCATAGCACCACTTCCGGCTTTTTCTGCTTATGTGGTGCTGAGGAATCGAACCCAGGGCCTCAAACATGCCAGGCAAGCGCTTTACCACTGAACCACCTTCCCAGCCCCATCACTTGGTTTTTCTATGCCTGTTTCTTCATCTCAAAAACAGGTATGGAAGGTGGGCACTGGTGGCTCACACCTGTCATTCTAGCTACTCAGGAGGCTGAGATCTGAGGATCACAGTTCAAAGCCAGCCCAGGCAGGAAGTCTGTGAAACTCTTATCTCCAATGAACCACCAGAAAGTTGGAAGTGGCTCTGTGACTCAAGTGGTAGAGTGCTAGCCTTGAGCTGAAGAGCCTGAGGGACGGCGCCCAGGCCCAGAGTTCAAGCCCCATGACTGACCAAAAAAAGGAAATGCAGGAGCTGAGTGGGCTGCACCACACTGAGCCGCCCTCCTGACTGCGGTGGTAGAAGGGAGGGGCGGGGGCTGCCTCCTCCTCACCCCTTCCCTTTCCAGGCCCAAATGCAACCTGGAGGTCATCGATCACATCGTAGGAAACCAGCCTGACCAGGAGATGGCGTCTGCCTCGGAATGGTGAGTGTCTTCACTCCCCCGCCACCTTCCCTGCGGGGACGGTCCTGCCCCCTCAGGAAAACAAAGCCAGTCATTCACTGTAAGACTGGCTTTGTGGGTTGTTCAGTAACCCACGGGTCTTGTCTCTGAGGAAAGGGGGGGATGTCACAATGCGGGGGAGCCGTAGAAGAACTGTCTCTGTCAGACCACTGTCCTCTGGGCAAGAGCACAGGCAAAGAACAGGAGAGAAGCCACTGAGAGGAGGGACCAACTTGCTTTTATAGCAAACTCAATCTCACAAGAATGAACACACTGTGGTGAGAACTCGCTTCTGTGAGAACTAATCCACTAAGCCACAGACTGATGGCTCACACTTCTCATCCCAGAGCTCAAAAAGAGATGGTAAGTTTGGGGCCAGTCTGAACAATGTGCAGCAAGACCTGTTTGGAAAGAAAAAAAGAAAAGAAAGAAAGGAAGGAAAGAAGCAAGCAAGCAAGCAAGCAAGCAATCTAGGCACCAGAAAAAAAGAAACAAAAGCAATCCAGGCACCAGTGGCTCATGTCTGTAATCCTAGCTACTCAGGAGACTGAGATCTGAGGACTGAAGTTCAAAGCCAACCAGGCAGAAAAGTCCCTGCTAGACTTTTATCTCCGATGAACCACTCAAAAATCAGAAGTGGTGCTGTGCTCAAGTGGTAGAGTGCTAGCCTTGAGCACAAAGAGGTTCAGGGACAGTGCCCAGGCCCTGAGTTCAAACCCTACACACACACACACACAGAGGAGTAGAAGAAGCAATCCTCCCTTCCTTGACGTGCTATTGGGGAGCATTGCCCACTTGCATGTGTTCTGCTCCTGCCAAACGTGTAATGTGGTGGTGTGACGGAGCCTAGGCAGGGACGCGCCGTGGAGGGCGGCCATGGCGGAGGGTCAGGTGGTCCCTGGAGGAGCCTCAAAGCACATGCGTCCTGCCACTGCCCTGTAGGTACCTGAAGAACCTGCAGTTCCACCGCTTCTGGTCGGTGGACGACACCCAGGTGCACACGGAGTACAGCTCTCTGCGCTCCATTGTGGTGGCCAACTATGAGGAATCCATCAAGATGCCCATCAACGAGCCAGCGCCTGGCAAGAAGAAGTCCCAGATCCAGGTAGGGCCTTTACTGGCTGGGGAAGAAGAGGTTAAGGGCAGTTAAGGGCAGGGGTGTGGGTGACACTGCTGTCCTTGTGTCCCTCCCTCAGGAATATGTGGATTACAATGGGGGTGCTGGGGTCCAGCACATCGCTCTCAAGACTCAGGACATCATCTCTGCGGTTAGAACCCCATCCCTGGTCCTAAGGCTTCTCTCCTGTAGCTCCAAGATGAGCCTCTGCAGATGGAGGAGGCATGCTGTAGCCCTGGACACCTTCTCTGGCTCAGAGGGCTGACAGGACCCCCTCCCACATACACCCTGGACCCTGAAACTCCCATGCAGGCAATCCCTTCCCACCCTACCGAAAGAGCTCAGATGCTGAGGAGCAACTCAGCCAGAGCATCAAGGAATCCTTGACCATGCTCCAGTTCTCTGCAGTGCCTTGCGGTGTGTCTCTGCCTCTCTCAGCCTCCACAGCCTCACCTTGAAATGAAGGCTATTAGGCTACAAGACCAGTTATGGCCTTTTAGCCAAATTCCATGTCACATGTTCTGGGGAAGGAGCGAGAGTGTGGACTGTCCCATTCAATGTCCTTGCGGATGCCATTAGCTGGTCTTGCACGGGATGTTTTCTGAGCACCACTATACGCCAGGCGTTTCGTTGTAGGTTTGTGGGATGCGTTTACAAGTAGAACCTTAAACTTGACTCCATGCTGAGGCACCACCAAGGGGCAAGCAGAGGAGTGACAGGATTTGGCTTGTAGAGGAAAAAAGTCAGTCTGGCTACTGTGCTAATCTTTCAGCACCTCTGTTTCCCCAGCTCTGAAACAAACATAATGGAGCAATACATACAAAGACAGGCTCATCATAAAGATGACCAAACACACGGGAGTGTCACGGGAGAGGCTCCGACAGTCAGGGGTGCTGAGCAGGACCCGCATCTCCTGGCCCCGCATGGGCATAGCCTGGTGAGCTAGGATAAAGGGACTGACCTCTGACCTCCACCTGCTCTGGGACAGATCCAGCACTTGAGAGACAGAGGCATGGAGTTCTTAGAAGTGCCATCAACGTACTACAAGCAGCTTCGGGAGAATCTCAAGTCAGCCAAGATCCGGGTGCAGGAAAGCATCGACACGCTGGAGGTGGGGCCCACGCCCGGCTGACAGGAACGAGGCAGAAAGCCATCGGACCTGGTGTCTGTGGGAAGGAGCAGGGGGCGGCCTGGGCGGTGGCGTGGGCAGGGACCAGAGCACCTGGGGGGACCAGGAGATCGTAGGTAGAACTTGGAGCTTGAACTCAGGGCCTCCCGATGCTCAGAAAGAAAGTGCTCCCCTTCTCTACTCACACGGCCAACCTTGGGGACAGACAGGCTTGGACCTGCTAGAGGAAGGGGGCTTCGCTTGGCCTCGTTGGCACATGGCCCTGTGAACTGTCTAAGGATCACAAGCGCCAGCTAACAGAGCGGGCCAGCCTCCCTCCCCCAGCCTCCTTCCCTCAGAGCCCCAGCCTCCCTGCCCCAGAGCTTCCTTCCTACCTTCCCCAGCGCCCCAGCCTCCCTCCCCCAGAACCCCAGCCTCCCTCTCCCAGAGCCCCAGCCTCCCTCCCCCAGAACCCCAGCCTCCCTGCTCCAGCGCCTCCTCTCTACCTCCCCCAGAGCCCCAGCCTCCCTGCCCCAGCACCCCAGCCTCCCTGCCCCAGGCTCCCTCCCCC